AGTGGAAGGAGGCCTCGCTACCACAGCTGCACCACACAGAGCTCTAGGGGTGTGTGTGTGTGTGTGTGTGTGTGTGTGTGTGTGTGTGTGTGTGTGTGGTGTGTGTGTGTGTGTGTGTGTGTGTGTGTATATGTGTGTGTGCGTGCGTATATGTGTGCGTGTGCTACTGTATGTGTGAGACCTGACAGTGGTTTTACAGACAGTTAGGACAGGATGTCACAATAGAAACAGCAAACAGTGCTGTAGCTTTTATGACTCTGGAGGAAGACAGGAAAGAAAGGTGAGAAGATACAACCAATACACGGGGGAGAAAGGAGAAATGAATAGCAGAGGGATAGAAAGACAGATAAATACAGAGAAGAAAGGGAAAGGGTGAAGGAATCAGGGAGGTGGGAGAATGGACGAGGCGAGTAGGCGATGGCACATGATGAATTTGGCTCATTGTCTGGCTAGCTTTTCTCTCTCATCCCCTCAGAGGGCTGACCTATTCGTCAAACAGACCTCCGAACAGGCTGAAGAGAAGCAAGCTGGTGTGTGTGTGTGTGTGTGTGTGTGTGTGTGTGTGTGTGTGTGTGTGTGTGTGTGTGTGCGTCTTTGTAACAGGACCCTGCTGGCCAATCCATTGCCAAGACACGCACCATTTGACCCACTTCCCCTGGTCTGAGCTCTGTGCAGGGTGTCTGCGTGCGCGTTACAGCTGCCTGCTCAAGTGAAACCGCTCTGCTTTCTACAGGCAACGAGAACGAGGGAAAATAAAAACAAATTAACAATGAGAACAGCAGGGTGGTGTCTGGAGGGGTGTGTGGTGTGATGGATTCCTGAGTGAACGCACTGTGATTGAATATAAATGACTGGGGAGTGTGCTGACCATGTAGCATGTGTGCACACACACAAACAACTGTACACGTGAACATAAATGCTGGCAATGAAGAGAAATGGTACCAGTTAGACAAGCCACAATGAAAAACTTTCATTTAGGAGTTTGCTGTCATCTGTTGAGCCAGCTTTTCATCACTTCTTTTTAGGGGACCACAAAATACAGTTTCTAAAGAGAAAACATTTAATCAAGATTCGTCCCTTTCTCTCACTCTCGAAGCGTCTGAGTACTGTAGAAAAGGAGCCAAGCCACTAGAAGTGTAAGAAAATATCCATGCAATTGAGTACCTTAATATTATCTTTTGTGATATTGTATTATAAAAAAGTATTTCTTATCTGTTTACTCAATTAATTGATGGAATAATAGATAGAATACTTGATTACACAATTAATCAATAGCTGCAGCCCTAGCAACATGTGATTGGCCCACTGCGGCAGCAACAGCTAGCAGAAGACTAGCATACAGTTTGGAGTCAAACGCAGTGTATTTGATGGAGTGGGCAGTGCTTTTACACATGTAGCACACAGCAGGAGATCGTCTGTGTCAGACTGATTCCCAAATGTTAGAAATTCTCCTCTTGGTTTAGGCGAGGGGTGGCAGTTCAAATCAAGAATTTAGAAGAATTTATTTTATTTTACAAAAACCCCAGTGTTCATTGTACGTACAATTAACATAACTGTGTTTTTCACAGCAAAAAGAAACTTGATCATTAATAGGCTGTATGGATGGAGATTTAACTGTATGGAAAAAATGTACTCAATGCTGAAAAGATCCCTGCATCTGGTAAACCCGTTTTGAAGGGTCACACAGTTTATTCTACCAACAGTCTACCAGCAGTCTGTTCATTTTAAGCAATATCCAGGTGTTTCCTTAACTGGAAAACTAGTCTCTAAATTTCCAGGTTTTCCAGTACATATGGGAACCCTGAACTGAACTATGAGCAATATGCACACTTTTACTGTCTGACTCTGAGATGTTTTTACATCAAAGATGACACAGCTGCACACCATCACCAACACGCCCACCTGCTCGCTGGGAGCTCTCCACACAATGACCTGCTCTACACAGGAACTCACACAGAATATGGACTAAGGATCTGGCAAAATTCTATCTGTTTAATGTCGGGTGTAATTGATTACATTTCTCACATACAGCTCCTCCAAGTAATGTCTAGGTGAGTTCAGACTTGCAGTGCATGTGTGAAAGAGACTTGAGTCTCTCTAGGAAGCCAGAGGGTCACTAAAACAATCCACACTGCTCTCTTACAATCTCCTCACTTTCTCATCGTCTTTCTCTTTTCTTCTTATACACATTCAATGTAAAATGTGCACTTCGGCATCGATCAGGATCTGTCACAACAGCAGATAAAGCCACACTGGAGTCAGGTATTTACAGTGTGAGGACTGTGCGTGTGGTGTTCTGTTGGGGGGCTGATGTCTGCTTTGTATAGGCTTAAGTAAACTGAGGAGAAGCCCGGTCACGCCTGTCATGCTAGATTATGTCCTCTCCATCTACGAGAGAGAATTAGAGGAGGTACAGGAGGCTGCTGTGTAATGTGGCAGGTAAAGCTCCTCTTAGAAACATTAATTATCTTCAACTCAGAGCAGCATGTCTGCATGGTGACACAGCACACCATATAAGGTCCCCCCCCCATATTGAAAATTAGATCAAGAATAAGTAGATACAATAATAAAGCCTTTGCCTGTGGATGCCAGTCACTTTGAGATAAAGATATATAATCACTGAGAACAAAGCATTACCAACAATCAGATACATTAAAAGATACATATGAAGCAACGACCAGTGCGATACAATACGATTCACCCCTAACGCGCTGCAGTGTGATTCAACACGATACGGTGCGAAACAAAAGAATATGATGCTATGCAATTCAATATGGTACTGATAGTTTGATTTTACTTTGTTGCTTCTTTTTTAAGCAGCTTGAGAAACAGTTTCTAAATAATAAAAGGCATTGGGCCTTTACTAATATAATATAAATCAGTTTTTACTGATGCAAAGATGCATTGCGAGTTCTTTCCAAATTTTATCCGATGCACACTTTTTTAATTGAGGCAATCGAATCTTCAACATTTATGCCGGGAAGCCAAATCGTCAATGTTACCATCCCTAGTGCACAGTATTACCATGTACAGAGGACACTTAAAGAAGTCGCTCAACATTTTGGAAAATATGTTTATTTGCTGAAAAAATAAAAAAACGAGTCTCATATGAACTGATACAGAGCTGGATGCAAGAATCGTGAGTTAGCCTAGCTTAGCATAAAACAAGCGGCTGGGGGAAATTAAAGCATTACACTACTGTGCTGGACATCTCGCCAGGCTCCAAGCTATGACTTTTTCTTCAACCACATGAGGAACTACTGGCAGCTACAGCATTAGCTACGAGCGTGTTTTTTTATTTATTTATTTATTTTTGAAAGTAATTTTTTTGCCTTTTTTTGCCGTTACTGGATAGTGACAGCCGAAGATAGACAGGAAAGGTGGGCAGAGAGAAGGGATGACACGCAACAAAGGGCCGCAGGTCGAATTCGAACCCTGGGCCGCTGCAGCAACTCTGGACATGGGTCGCCAGCTCCACCGACTGAGCTAACCGGGCGCCCACGAGCATGGTTTAACACTAGATGTGTGTGACAGCGTGTGCGTGACAGGCTTTTCTTCTTCAATAAGAGTTGGACCACGCTATAAAAATCATTGATCAGATACCTGCCCTTTTCCAAACTGTTTACAATGACAATTTCCCAGATGGTTCTGTGCAACAAACCATGTGGCGCAGTCAGATTAAATGTTTGTAATCTGATCTGTCTAATGAATAAAACACCTCTGCCTGCAGTATGAAACCTGGACTCTTTCTTTTCTATTGTTGCACATGTCCTGTAGGTATATTCTTTACTTTCTAAAAATACCTGCTCTGTGTATGGACCTGTCTTGCAGCAGACTGGCTACTTTCTCTGAACAAAGTCCTGCATTGCTCTAAATCTCTCCTCTCAATTAATCTAATAGTTTCTGTTTTACCACCCCTCACCCCACCATTCAAGTATCTTTCATTCAATCTCTCCACTCCCCCTCCACTGCTCCTTCAGCCAGTGGGAGATCTCTGATAAGACCTTTGACTGATTTGTCTAGACAATATTCAGCAGCCTTTCTCTGGATTAGTGACATACCAATGGCTGTGTAATTAAACGACACAAAAATATCAGATTGAGTAAATTAGTAGTGCTTGTTTTTGTTTTTTTACCAATTGTACATGTATTTAGTTTGTCTCTTAAATTACTTTAATAATAAAAGTCCTAAAGCTGCAGTAGGTCATTTTTATACAGATATTTGTTTTGTCATATTTGTTCAAACGTTCCCTATATCTTGACAGTAGTACATGAGACAGATAATCTGAAAACCAATCAGAGCAAATGTAGTTGATGGTTGAGTCTCATTCCAGGGTGTCAAATACAGGTGCTTTGGGACCCTGGGAATGAGACTCAACAATCAACTATCTTCAAGCCTCCAACCCAAAGCGTCTTTCTATCAATCTCAGCTCTGATTGGTTCTTTTGGTTGAGGCCCACTGGATTCTTACAAATGCCATTAGGAGCACTAGGAGGAGCTAGAGGAACCTGATTTTTTCATAGATTATCCGTCTCATGTACTACTCTCAGGATATAGTGGAAATGTAAGCAAATATGACAAAGAGTTATTTTTATAAAAGTTACCTACTGTAGCTTTAAAATTTTAAATTTTCTAAAAAGTAGAAACAGTGGAGGGATAGTGTACTTCTTCCCTGAATAATTACTCTCAAGGTGCCCTAGCCATGGTTTAATAATTAACTGCTTCAATGGAACAGCCCAAAGACAACAGCAGAAGACTATGATTGAACTGGGAAACTCCCAAGTGTGGTAGTGAGGAGCTGAGAGAATGAGAAGTAGGTCTGTGTGGAAAAGAGCAAGTGTGTTCAGTGGACCTCTTCACTGCATTAACGTTTACTATGTAACAGAGTGGGAGAGATAAAAGCAGTTATCTTCAATAATAACCAATGATATTCATGGGCAACTAGAAACAGCAGAGTGAGTAAGAGACACAGAGACATAACAGAGAGAGTGTGATATCTACCCTCTGTGCTGAGTCCAGGACTGGAGGTGAACTGGGCCACATCTACGATTTTGACAGCAAACTGCTGCCCCGTCTCTCTGTTGATGCATCTTCTCACCACGCTGAAGGGACCCCTGAACAACACAGGAAAAAGAAAAACATTTAATATGCAGTTGTTGTATTTGTATCTTACCAACCAGTATGTTAAACCCGAAATAACAATCAAGCTGTAACACAACTCCAGGCATGGGATGATATGAAAATGTCATGTGACGATTATACTGGCCAAAATAATCACGATTCAAGATATATTTGCGATAATCATCCAAAACATCTTTGTAAACATTACTTTACCTCATGTTTTGTTAAGAAACAAATCACAGACAGGACTGACAGGGTTGGGATTTTGGAAAGACGCAATTGTGACAGTTCAAAAATAAATGAAGAAATCAATATAGGACTGTATGTTAGGACAGCTTTTTCAAGCTAATCATGTGAAGATATTGACGATTATCCCGATAATATAAATTCACCACAATATAATTATGTGTGTTTTTATCGCGATAATATCATATATCGACCCATCCCACAACACATTTATGTTCACCAACTGGTTTCCAACTTTGTCTGCCTGCTGTTTGGTGCTGGACAGAAAACATCCAGTCAGATAGTCAGAGCTTTATTTAAAAGAGTGCTGAGGCTATAAACGACACTGATGAGAATGGTGAGAGTAAGCCAAAACAGTAAAGCTGTGGGCCATAAACCAAAACAGTGAGCTGAAAGATGATAAAAGGCTCAATAGAGCTGAGGGGGACTGAAGAATGGGCCTGATCACAATTATCTGAGCCAATTGCAATCATTTTGCACAATCGTTAGATTCTATAGTCCAGAGGATTGCAAAAAAAGAAAAAAGAAAACAAAATGAATCCGGTGTGTTTCAATCACCTGGACAAAATTTTTTTTTTTTTTTTTTTTTTTTTCCATAAAAAAAAAAAAAAAAAACCCCCCTAATTTTTATTCTTTTTTTCCCCCCCTTTGGGGGTTTTTTTTTTTTTTCCCCCAAAAGGGACCCTATTTCTTTCTTTCTGGAGCAAAACAATTTTTTTATTAATTAATAATTAACCTTTACAGTTCCAGGTTTTGTTTTTTGTTTTTTGGGAAAAATTTATATTATTTTTTTTTTAATAAAAAAATAATTTTTTTTTTTTTTTTTTTTAATTTTAATAAAATTTTTTTTTTTTTTTTTTTAAATTATTTTATTTTTTTTTTATATTTTTTTTATTTTTTTTTTTTTTTTTTTTTAATTTTTTTTTTTTTTTTTTTTTTTTTTTAATAAGGTGAGGTTTTTATTTTTTTTTTTTTTTGGTTTTTTTTTTTTTATTTTTTTTTAATTTTTTTTTTTCTTTTTTTGGTGGTGGGTTAGGGTTAAAAATAACAACTAAATATTTTTTTTTTTGTTTTTTTTTTCCTCCCAATACTTACATAACAAAAATTTTTTTTTTTTTTATGGAATAAACTTATTTTTTTTTTTATTTTTTTAAATTTTTTCTGGGTTTTATAAAGGAAAAAAAACGCTTAAGGTGTTATATTGGTGTCAGTGCAAAGTTTATCCAGCAGAGTGCGCTGTGATTTACAATACTGTGGCAAGCAGCACAAAGTAAGAGAAGCAGCTCTCAGCAATCAACTAGAATTGTTTGTTTTTATCATATTATAGAATATTTAAGTTAAATATTCTATAATAAAGTTATTTGTTCAAGAACCTTTGCAGAGTCATATCGGTGCACAGACCACTTAAAAAATATCTATTTTCATTCCAGCTCAAACATTCTCTAAATTGGCTGCCATATTGGTAATCAGTCAATTCTTCCACCCTAAAATCAGTCTGGCTCTAGTGCCAACCATGAACCACAATGTTCCCAGTTGGATTCCAGCCGGGGACCTTGCGTGTGCTGTGTGCTGTTTCCTGTCATCTCTCTACTGTCCCACATAGACGCACAAAATGCTCAAAAAATACAAAAGTAAACAAAAACACAAAATATAAAGCAGTTAAAAGCAGTTAAGTGGGACTGTTATGAATAATGTGAGCCCAAACTCAAAAAACTGTAATGACTATTTTATGTCAGTTTTTAATTGTTCGTTTGGAATCTTTAAATTGGACAACAGAAATTTCTAGAACAAGGACATCATATGATTATCTCATTGTGATATGATACCGCAGAAAGCCAATGGACCTTTTTCACAGCAGCCGTTTTGACACAAAATAATATTAGTGTCATTGGTAACACCTGTGTTTACCCTACTATTTCATGTCAAAGGGCTGCTGTGAAAAAGGTCTGTAGATACTAATATAGACTATACTTGCCTCTTTCCCTCACTACAACTCGTCCTCTTACTGGATGCATCAAAGTCATGCTCAGATTTTAACCCAAGTGGCAAAAAATAACAGAGTACACAGAGAGTGAGAGTGGGTAATCCTTGTTTTCTGCACATCACTGTGTGTAGCAGCGTATCAGCGTGTGCAGAGAAGCCAGGACTGCACTTTGGTTCTCAATGCTGAGGTTGGAGGAGTTCACAAATTGGATCATTCCTCCTGTGGAGCGAGTGTATCATCCCATTCAGTCAATGGGATAAACAGAGGTCTACCTCTCAAGGGCTGCGGGTTAGAATTAACATACCAGCAGGGTCAGGGTCACAGTGCAATACACACCTAAATAAAGCTCTTGGCTACAACTGCACTCACAACTCAAGGGTAATGGGCTTGATCTGACCTGTACACACTGAGGAATAATGCATGCTCATGTCTGAGAGAGGAAATGTGTGTGTGTGTGTGTGTGTGTGTGTGTGTGTGTGTGTGTGTGTGTGTGTGTGTGTGTGTCTGTTGGGAAGATGAGGTTTAGCAGCGGGAGAGGAGCTGGGGCAGATACAGATAAAAGAAGCAATGGATCTTGTGTAAGTGTGGACACACGAGCTGGCAGCAGCAAGAACATAATCATATCCATCTATTATCTCTACTTGCTTATTCCTGGAACCTGTCCCAGCATGCACTGGGTGAAAGGCAGGGAAAAACCCCGGACAGGTCAGCAGGCACATCCTATAATGTGACAGATGAATGTGTAGGAGAGCACACTTCAGCTCCCTGTTTAGCTGTCAGGAAGTTATTTGTGGACACTGATGATGAGGTTTAATGATGTTGACCATAAGGCCATTAGATATTCAATAAGTATGTGTGTGTCCGTAATCCCTAATACAGGACAGGCATACATTTTTCTATAAACAATTTTTCACAAAATAACCAAGAATGATGAATAATGATATTTGATGAATATTACAGGTAAGATAAGAGACGCCTTTATTGATCACAAGAGGGGAAATTAAGGTGTTACAGCAGTAAAGGGAAAGAAATAAGTACAGATAAATAAATAAAAAATCGGATCCGATATTCAGCATTATCTGTATCATTATTTTCTTTATCCAATTGCTGATAAATTTATTTAAAAATATACTACTTTGGCTCTGATGTAGCTCCTTCCCTCTGTCTGTAGTCATCACTCTGTAGTCTCGCTCAGTGTCCCGCCCACACGTCACAAGTAATAGGATACCATCAACTATAACAGTGTACAGTACACCAGAACAGTGTACTAATTAAAAAAATAAAAATGTATAGATAATATTGCAGCATTTAATTAAATATATGCTTGACATAGTAAAACCGTAGAATGGCACATTTTAGAACACATGCATGCATATTTTATAACTGGAATATAATTATATTTGCATTAATGTGTTCATCATGATAAAAAATAGAGAAAGTTAGTTGATAGTTAAGTCTCATTCCAAGGGTGTCAAATCTGGGCGATATGGGCAAAAAATAATATCTCGTTATTTTTGGGGATTTTGGCGATAACGATAATCAGTCGATATCCTTTAAAATGTGATTGAAATTGTCTGAGTTAGGGCTTGTGTCCACCAAACGCATGTTTGGCGCTGAGAGCACTCAAAAACTAATTTTCTGAGCGGTGTTAAAAGTTGAACAGATTTCAACTTGAAGTGCTCTGAGCGCTGCGCTAAAAAACGTCTCCGCATCTTTTTACCACTGAAGGCGCTTATTGCTCTGAACGCTGAAGTTCATAGGATTTGTATTGAAAATAGGCGCTGCTAACACTAAAAATGTGTTTGGTGGACACAGACCCTTATCAGTCTTTTGAAACCAAACTGTTTCCATGCCAGAGAGGTAGACCCACGCCTCGGCACTAACTCATCTGAAGTACCGGTAGCTTCAGGGACTGGAGGTGCTTGCATTTTCTCTCTACCATCACAACGCACTGCTAAACTGTTGCAAGGAGGATGCTAGCGAGAGGTCATGTGATCACGTCATGTGATCCCGTAGGCCCACTAGTTGTGTGACTGAATCCTGCCATGCTGTAGAGAGCGCTGCTGCACCGTGTATTAAGTGTATGTGAGGAGTTTCCGCGGGCGTTTCAATATTTTTGTCAAAGTAATTTAAATACTCGATAATGGAAATTTGCACATCGTCAAAACAACAATGACGATATTATCGCAAACGATATATATCGCCCACCTCTAGTGTCAAATACAGACGCTTCAAGCCACCAAACCAAAGCATCTTTCTATCTTTCTCGGCTCTGATTGGTTGTTTTCGTTCAGGCCCGGTGCATTCTTACAAATCCCATTAGGAGCACTAGGAGGAGCCAGAGGAACCTGATTGTTTCACACATGATCTGTCTCATGTTCTACTGTCAGGATATAGGGAAAGTTTTTTTTTATAAAAGTTACCAACTGCAGCTTTAAGATAGTAGAATATTGATACCCATCCCTAGACAGGAGCACAAAAGACAGATTACATCTGCTGTCTGTTACCTTGGTTACATTATTTCTAATTTCAGGTCTGATGATCGCATATGTCAAGATGACCCAGATGACATATATTTAAAAACCACGGTCCCAGTTTTACTGAGCCCATTGAGTGGAGTGAATAAAAATTATTATGTCACAATGATTATATTGAGTTTCTGTGGGTTCTCATCTCTTTTATACATATTGCCCATGTCCTATGGGTGAACTAGGAAACACAGCAGGTGGCTGGGTTCACCAGCAGAGCAGCTTCTAGCGGAGA